TTATCTAGTGAAGATCATAATGGACTATTCCCCCTGCCTTTGAATTTTATCTACAATTTTTCTGATTCATCCCATGGTTTAACTTCAATCACTGTATTTTTTAAGATAATCATTTTAAGACTGAAAAAAAATTCGTATTTTAATCCTCATATAATGATTTTTTATGAAGTGTTAGTTTTCTTTAACTCTGGAAGCATCCAAAGGCAAGCAATAATGATCACAAATACTTTGAAAGGACTCGGCATTGTCAAGCCCGCAATTAATTTTCAAGGAATCGGATTGGCGTGAGGGATTCTCATTTTCTAAATTTGTTGTCCTTTTGCTTCTTCTTTTTCTACCCCAAAGAATTTCATTCGTCTGGTTTACCACAATAATAATAATACATGTGCTTGCTTTTGACAGAAACCTAAATAAGATTCCTTTCAATTTGTTATATTTTTCAAACAAAAAAACAATTTAGTTAAATTCTTCCCAGTCATTGCAATAACCTAATTCAAAATATATAATTCTACTTACTTTTTTGTAATTATCGAAATTATTATTGGGAGACTTTCTTACATTATTTTGTTTATATAAAAGCCTCAGATAACATAACCTCCCAACAGAGGTGTGCAAAAAAAATGGTTGACTTGTTCTGCCCTTGATCTGACCTTGACCTGATCCATAAATACCTATTTTTTGAACAGAGTTTAAATACTGACCCACTTTATTTGGGTCAGTTTTCGACCTCACTTGTTTTAATAATGACCCATTAACCCAGAATTTGACCCATACCCATTATGTGAAAAAAAAAAGAAAAAAAATCACATTTACATTAAAAGAAAATTTTTAACGTAAAACAATTACGTCAAAAATTTTTGACGAAAAAATTTTCATCAAAATTTGTGACTAAAAATATTTCTCTAAAAAATTTGACAGAAAATTTTTTTTGTCAAATTTTTTTACAGAATCTAAATTTTGTTAAAATATTTCACAAAAAAACATTTTCATCAAAAATTTCGACGAAACACATTTCCATCGAAATTCTTTGACGGAAAAAAATTTCATCAAAATTCTTTACAGAATTCAAATTTCGGCGAAAGTTTTCGACGAAAATATTTTCGTTAAACTTTTTGACAAAACAGAAATTTCGTCAAAATTTTTAGCGAAACAAATTTCTATCGAAAATTTTCTACTGAATATTTTCGTCAATTTTTTTGAAAAAAAACATTTCCATCAAAATTTTCAATGGAACACATTTCTGTCAAAAAATTCCATAAAAATTTTTGACAAAAAATATTTCAATAAAAAATTTTGACGAAAAAAATATTCTGTCAAAATTCTTTAGAGAATCTAAATTTCGTCGAAAGTTTCTAATGAAACATTTTTCTCAAAACAATTTTCGTCGAAATTTTCGTCAAAACACATTCCTATCAAAATTTGGAACGAAAAACATTCCGTCAAAATTTTTGACGGAATTCTTTTTTCGTTTAAAACATTTGATGGAGGAAATCATTTTCGTCAAAACTTTTGACGAAAACTAAATTTCGATAGAAAATTTATTTTTGTAAAAATTCTCATTAGAGAAAAAATTTCGTCGCTTTTCGACAAAAGGTATTCTGACGAAAAGATAATTTTGTTACGAAATTTTCATCGTTTGCAACGTATAAATTTCGACGAAATTTTGTGACGAAACCAAGTCAAAAACGGGTCAGGTCAGATTTGACCCACTTCAGAAACTAAGTCAGAAAAACTTCATAAACCAAGTCAGATCTGATCCGACCCAGTTCTGAAGTAGTTCAAAAATATTCAAATCATGTCAGACTTGACTTGGATCAAATTAAAGCGAGTCGGGTCAAAATACCTGACCTATAAAAACTAAGTTGGGTCGAGTCGACACAAAAATCTGACCCAACCTGACCCATGCACTGCCCTACCTGCCAAACATCAAATTCGAGAGAAAAATTAGTTGGTATGGTAAGTGAGCTATGCTTCCTCGTACATCCCTCTTGTGAGGGTAATACCGAAGTTCGTACTTTGTAAATTACATAGCTCTTTGTTGATTCAATTTAGGTTGGTAATTTCTTATATTATAGAAGATAAAATTATTTCCTACATACATAAAATGGTTCGTTTTTTCTGCAGTTAATGCAGATAAGTTATTTGCAGTCAGTGGCGGACTCAGGAAAAAAAATTTATGTCCGCACATTTAGTGTCAGAGGATCGAGGGCAACGCCCCCGAAAATATTTTTTTGAAATAAAGTTTAAATTAACGGTTGAACCCACTCATAATCTAGTTGCTTCCACAACAAGCTGCAGGCAATAGTTTGACCAATTATTTCCCCCCTAAATCTCATCAATCCTCCAAAATAAATATGAGAATATACTCCAGTACATCCATACATCATCATTCTATTTTATAGTGGTGAATAAAAAAGTCAACATTATATATACATAAGGCAAGCAAAATCACAGACCTCGTCTCTAGAGAGTAACTTATTTGAGAATGTCAGACCTGCAATCAATCTTCTCTTTTTATAAAAAAGAAAAAGGAAACAAAGGATGAAGAGAACATGAGAATGAGTACATGACAGAGGAAGAAGAATAAGTTTTTTCTCTAATCAATTTGTGTTGCTATGTTGTTTTAATCATTTCTATATATTGCTATGTTGCTAACTAATATAAAAATAAATATCATTTTTGGTCCTTTACAAAAAATTCGATCCTCAGTTTCGTCCATTATAAAAAAAAATTAGTCACTAGGTCACCATGAAATTCAAAGTGAACCAATTTTAGTCTTTTTGGGGGACTAATGTGGATCTTTTTTGAATTTATGAGGGGCCACGATTTTAACTAAATTGGTCCACTTTGAATTTCTCAGGAAACTCGAGACTAATTTTTTTTATAAGGGACTAAAGTGGGGACCGTGTTTTTTGTTAGGGACTTAAAAAAGTATTTACTTCTAATATAAATATTGAACAAAGAGATAAATAAGGACCTAAAAAAAACTAAAATCTAAAATTTCATGTCCGCACTTGCATACATTTGCGCAGACATGCGTCCGCCACTATCTGTAGTAAACCCAATACGACGTCGTTTTGAGACGAAAATCATGATATTTTTATAATTTTAATTTATTTCAGGATTATTATAGTCTTTATAATTATAATTTTTTAATATTTTAATCTCAAAATGATATTATTTTGAGAGTAAATACAGATAACTTATCAGCAATAACTGCAGAAATATTTTTCTGTACATAAAAATATATGAAACATGTGGATTTATATAAAGAAAAAAAGATATAAACTCCACATAATAGGAAATAACTTTAATTTTATCTCCGAGAGATATTAAATCCTTCCATTAATCAATTTTTTTTTTGAGTAAACACCCTTTTTAGTCCCTGTCAATATCTACGAAGTCCTTTTTAGTCCCTGGCAATAAAAAAGGACCAAATTGGTCCCTGAAATTACAAAAAAGGGCCATGTTAGTCCTTATGTCAACTCCCAAATATGTAGAGTGGCCCTTTTCTTGTACTTTCAGGGACCAATTTGGTCCTTTTTTATTACGAGAGACTGAAAAGGACTTCGTAGATATTGCCAGGGACTAAAAATGATGTTTACTTTTTTTTTATTGACTAATGGTAATTGCATATAATCCGTAATTCGCATTAAAAATTGTGTACCTTTAATAATGACGAATAAAAAGAAAAGATAAAGAAAAAGACAAATGATGATGATAGGAGTAAAGTAATGTAACTTGTATAAGTATCATTTTATGCACAAGTACCATAATTGTTTACAATTTCACAACTCCCGAAGTTTTTTTTTTTCACAACATAAGCACGCATATGACAGTCATCCAATCATCTGACCTAAATTGAGCTAATCGGTGTTTTTATATTCTTTGTTGACAATATTTCATGCAGGGATTAATTAGGTATTTAGGTGGCTCAAGCCGTGGAATGAATATGATGCATCATAATATATTTTATATACCTAATCGCATAGGCAACTTGACAAGTTGAATCTGAGAACGACAACAGTCAGCTGTTCAATTCCACTCCTCCTCAGCTAAAAAACAAACAAAAACAAAAAAACAAAGACAAAACAAAACAATTTCAGCTATTTTAGAGCATTTGATTGGAGCCTCATTTGACAAAAGTGACAGGGAGCCGAGTCAGCTGATGGTACGTTCTAAGTTGTGAAGGCCCCATGATGCAACATCTCAATTTTTTGTTGTGAAAACAGTTTTTACTCCATAAAAGGGACATCCAATAATACTTCGTCCACTGGCACTGCCTAATACCCACTTTATTAGCTAAAAAAGTTAAAGTGGGAAGGGGAAAAATAAAAAATAAAAATCTATTGTCCTTTCATCTTCTTTTGGCTCCACATTAGATGGATAAAATGGACAGCAGTGGCAGGTTTACCTATCTGATTATTTTTTGTTTGTTTTTGGTTAAAACTTGTACAACAGGAGACAGCAACTGCAAAAAGAGCACAACCAAACTAGCATAATAATAACATATAACAATGATGAAGCTATATTGAAAATCCAACTATTTGCTGTCTTGCAATTTACTCATCCATTGTTCACTCATTATTCAAATATTGACATAAATGGATTGTGTACCTAAAGCCCTAATTCACCTGCATTCCAAAATCACATTATTTAGCTAGAGAAAAAAAAAAAAAAAAAAAAAGTGGCGTGTGGCGACAAGAAAATTTTCAATCAAAACCCCAAAAGTTTTCGACACAACCAAATTTAGTAATCTAATTGAACAACTGGAATTTAGTAATCCAATCAAAGCCTTCCAATTCTATCTTTACTACTCTATTGGTACTTCAAGCTTTCTTTGCCCTCCAAAATCCAAAAAACCAATTTTCATAACATGATGGGAACTCAAAAACCCTCAATTGGCCACTACCTATATTAATCATATTTTATTTGGTCACTTAAATGAAGCCAAAGGGAAAGCGAAGAACTCTGTTTTCACATGTTTCATAATTTGGGGGATAACTAATTGATATTATAAAACTTCAAAACACCATCATCATCATCATCACAAACTCCAAATTTACATATTGTAAAATGAAACTCGGTAATTTAAAGCAAACTATAATCATAATCATTGAAAAAGAACAACTACTGATGAGAATTACTGTCACCCTGCCAGCTCCAAACTATGTCTTGGAGGGAAGGTCTAACTTGTTCCTCACAGAACTTAATGTACTCCAGTGTGTCTCCGGCAGACTTATTAAACTCCACCACCGCCACCTCCGGCGCCACCTCAAAAACCTCCACCGTCATGGCCAGTTTCCCCTTTCTCCCCTCTCTATTCCCCTGCATCCTAACCGTGAACTCTTTCTTGCCCGTGATCCTAAAATTCAGCTTCTTCGCCACCGCCTCAAGCTTTGCCAACACAGCCGAAGCAGAGAACTTTGATATGAACATAGAAGGGGACCTCTTGTTGGTCTCAAACAAGTTCCTAAGATCAAAGCCATGTGACAAAGAGGAAATGATCTCAAAGGCATTGTAAAAGGGACGAGAAGGCTTTGCCATTGCACCAACCAATTCAGGAACATGTTCTTCATCACCACCAACCTCGTTGAAATCAATGTTGTCCTCTTCAACCGAAGACTCCTTCATTGAAAACGCAATGGGTCTCAAGAACCCAATTTGGAACCAAGGATCCTGCATGATTTCAGGGATAGAAAACCTCTTTTCAGGATCAGCAACGAGCAAATTAGAGATCAAGTTCTTAGCTTCCATTGAAATCCAATCTGGGAATTCATATTCAGCCTTGAAAGCCTTCCTATAAATCCTCATCACATTCTCACCTTGAAAAGGAAGATAACCACAGAGCAAAGCATAGAGAATAACACCACATGACCATATATCAGCTTTCGAACCATCATACCCTTTTTTCTTCAACACCTCGGGTGCAACATAAGCAGGTGTACCGCACGGCGTCACGAGCATCCCATCGGCACGGCGTTGCTCCGGCAAAGCTGATAAACCAAAGTCAGAGACTTTAAGGTCTTCGTTTTCATCCAATAGAAGATTCTCAGGCTTGAGGTCACGGTGTGTGACGCCACGGCTATGGCAAAAGTCAACGGCGCTTATGAGTTGTTGAAAGTATTTCCTTGCCACGTCTTCTTTAAGCTTTCCCTTTGCGACTTTGGAGAAGAGTTCACCACCTTTGACGTATTCCATGACCAAGAAGATCTTTCCCTTTGTGGCCATAACTTCCTTCAATTCAACTATGTTAGGGTGTCTCACAAGCCTCATCACAGAGACCTCTCGCTTGATCTGCTTCACGAGCCTCTCTTTTTTTAGCTTATCTTTCTTTATCACCTTTATGGCCACGCTCTCGTTGGTGATTAAGTTTCTTCCGTAGTAGACCTTGGCGAAGTTCCCCTGACCCAGAACCCGCCCCATCTCGTACTTGTCGAAGATGATGTTTCTCGGGAGTGTGATTTGTTCATCATCTTGTGGTTGTGGTTGTGGATCCATTATCAGAGAGTGAAAGAGAGAGGGGGGAGGGAGAGGTTAAGATGTGAGGTGGGGTTGGAGGGGGGGTTGTTGTTGTAGTAATAGTGAATGGAACTAAATTATATCAAGTTGAAAGAGAGGATGGACATTCTGAATTGGTGAAGATGGGAAACACCCAGATGGAAAAGATTGATTTTTTCGAGGAATATGGTGTCCGATGGACACACAACATTCCGAAGAAAACATTTAGAGGGGCTGAAAATCTTCATGGTGCATATATGAAGATTTAATGGAAGAAGAAACAAAAGTAAATATACCCTTCAAGACTGACTGGGAAATCAAATCGCAAGAATCTGAGGCTGGCTGGTCTGTGAGTTGATTTTGTGGAAGATTGTTTCTCTTTTCTCTTATTTTTTAATAATCATGGGAAATTTTGAAGAAGATAAGGTGAAATGATGGAGAGGTGGTGTTGTCATGTTGAAAATTTGATGAGAATAATAATAAGAGTAGTAGTAGTACGGAGTTTGGGTTATGTGTAGAAAGGTTTAGAGAACACGGTTTTTTAAGAAGGTGGGAGAGGGGAGGGTGGGATTGGGTGTGGTTGCTGACAGTTGGAACTAAATCAGAAAAGAGATAAAGGGAATCATAGAAAAAAATCAGAAATATCCGTTGGGTGGGGGAAAAAAAGCCAAAGATAGAGAAATCTGGATCAATTAGGGTGCGAAACGCGTGGAGTTGACGTGGAGCAAAGGCTAATTGTGGGCTTGTTTCTTTTGTAATTTGAATTAAGTGCTTAGCTAATAGTTATTGCCGTTTCTATTTTGGCATGCTAATTGCATTCCTATTTGTACTCTTTTATTCAATATCATAATTACCCAATTCAATGTTTTTAAGGAAAAATCATATATTTAAGAATATTATAATGAGTTTTCTTTTTCTATCGTTAATATAGATAATTGATTTACATTAAATCTAAAACGATATTATTTTGAGATAGAAAGCAAGGTATTTTTTGTATGTATAATTTCTTTCAGAGTTATAATAGTTTATTAATTATAATTTTTTAATTTTTTAATCCAAAACGACGTCGTTTTGAGAGCGAATATAAATAACTTATCTACATTCACTGTAAAAACATTAAAGCCTATATACAATCTCAAATTATTTTTCAAAATTATCTAAATAATTTCCGTCGTAATCAGTTGCACATATCATGTAAATATTAATTAATATCATAAATAATAATAATTATACAAAAATTAAGATGATAAATGATTTATTATTATTATTATTTTGACAATTAATAATAAATGTATTTAGTTAAATAATAATTAATGTAGCAAATAATTATGAAGAATTTTTCTTGAAACTTTTTTAAAAAAATATTTTTAGGTAGATAATATACTTTTAATCTCTTTATAATTATGAGTTTGTTTTTCTACCGTCAATGCAGATAACTTATCTATATTGAGCTCAAAACGACATCATTTTGAGGCGAAAATCAAAGTATTTTTATAATTATAATTTATTTTAAAATTATAATAGTCTTTTTATTATAATTTTTTAATTTTTCAAACCAAAATGATGTCATTTTAGAAGCAAGTATAGATAACTTATCTATATTCACTATAAAAACATTAAAACCTATAATTATTTGATTAAAATCAAATCAATAGCTCTTATTTAATTACCATTGATTTGATTTGATTAAAAAATTATAAGAGTTTTATATTGGTCATGTGACATGACATTAATTCTATTATGCAGACACACAATTAGTGGAGCCCACCACTTAAAAAAAAACTACACACATTTCGAAATACCTGCAAGAATAAGATTTGTTGTCCTATTGTATAGCACTATGTTGCACTGACATCGACACGGGACACAGAATACGACACGACACTTTGACACGTTAATTCTAAAAAGTGTTAAATTTTGACAAGTTAGGACACGTTTTGATATTAAATAATATTTTTAATTTATGTAGTGTATATTATATTTAATATTCAATAATTTAACAAAAAATAAAGCTAAACTTCTAATACCCAACAATTTTGCAAAGAAACATAAGATATCCCAAATATTTATATTAAACTCAATAAAATGGTAATCGTAATCCAACGAATTTAATAGTTGGAACTTAAAACGTAACACAATGCAACTTTTGAACTTTTTTTTAATTATTTGCAACGAGTATTAGAATGTCGGTAAGTTACGAAAAAGATAGGGTATAACCAAATCGGCGCTTCATAGGTATAGCACTTGTTTTTCCCAAATCGCAAATGAGAGAACAGAGGTTATAACCTTCCTCTATTTATTATCATCAATTACTTAATATATATTTTTTTTTTCATTTTTGATGAAAACAATCGTATTACCATTATTAACAAAAATAATTAATTTCGTTTCGAAACAATTTATTAATCTAATGGTTCAATCTCGTATGGGGTGGTACGGCTAAATTATTGTACTAGAGTTTTATAAAAAAATTATCAAATTATTGTTATTTTAGACATATAAGAATGTATATTTTTTAAGTTATAATTATTAAATTATACTAATTTTAACTTATCCTTAATTTATATATATATATATATATATATATAAGGGAAATTTTTATACATCTTCTAATATTGTAATTTAAACCTGATTATTTTAACTTAAGTCAATTTGATTTAAAATAGTAATTTTTCAATACATGTCCTTTAGTTATTTCCAAATAATAAAAATATTATTGACTTCATTATTTTAAAACATCCTAAATATTTTACACGCATAAACACTTTACTTTGCTTATGCAATTTTTATAAGTAAATCAAGAGTAATTATATTGTTTTAATATGTTCTTATTATTTTTCACAATAATTTTTATTACGAATACAAATTTTCCTTAAACATTACAATAGAATTATGATTTCATGCTGACCCGTTGTGAGGTTACATTCTTATTTCCATTTTTATTTATCAAAATCAATTTAAATCATCAATATTTTATTTGGGATTTTGAAGGATAATACATTGCTTTATTATTTTTAAATGAGATAAAAGGAAATTAAAAGAAACGAGGGAAATTTGTCGGTAGACCAACAGTAAAACGGGATCAAGCTGCATCAAACCTATGTCATATCATATGTGAGCATATGTTTGTATGGATAATACAATGCTTTAGTATTTTTAAATGAGACAAAAGGAAATAAAAAATGGGAAATTTTGTTGGTAGACCAAAAGTAAAAAAGGATCAAGGTGGCATCAAACTTGTCCATATGTGAGCACAATCTTGAAATTGGAAAAGCATTGCTCAATAAGCTCACTCAAGGGTTAAATACATGTTTTTTAACTTAAGGACACCGCATGTTAATTTTTCATCATTCCATGATTCTTGTGAAAAGAAAATGATAAAAATTAATAAGAATTTATTATACCCTTTTTTGTGAAATAGTTAATTTAGTTGTTCAAGTGAGAAATGCAAAGAAATTGTATTTTTTATGAGTTACAACTCAAATGGAAAAATAATTATCCTTCCTCGTTCTTTCTTCGTCCTAACCCCTCAATTAGAAAAGGCAACAATTTAGAATTTTGAGAAAAAAAAAGAATGAAAAATACTTCCTCATATAAAAAATCTTCTAAACTACTAATTAGGATTGTGGTTGAAGTGCTCACTTGTTTATAGAGGTGTTTGCGGTCTGGATTGGATCGGTTTTGGAAGCAAAAATCATCCGATCTAATCCCTTCGGTTTGATCGTATAACCATCCATTCGGTTTGGATTTTTTTTCAAATCCGATCCGATCCAATCCAATTTTTTTCGGTTTGGATTGGATCGGTTTTTGATTTTTTGAAAATCATAAAATTTATTTCATGATTATTGTGCAAATAACATCTTTTTTTTGTTTGGAGGTTACAAGGAATTGAACACAACACCCTACACTACACACACTCCTAACACACACACCTCACACCACTAGGCTAACCTTAGTGGTGCTGCAAATAACATCTTTTGTATATATTGACTTTGTAATTTTTTTTTTTTTTTGAAATACAAAAGCATTAGTAAATTATAATATAGTTTTTTTTTTTTTGGCAATGAGATATGAAGCTCTATAAAGATAAAATTTTGTTAATGAGATGTTACCAAATTTTTTCTTAGGTTTAGTTGATGGGTTAATGGGTCTTTGGGTTTATAAATTTTTGGGCTATGATTGGGGAAAGACCCAAGTAGGTAGAGAGAAATTAATATATTGGATCGGTTTGGATTGGATCGGTTTTCATCAACCCATCTAAAAACCAATCCAATCCAATTAAAATTTGCGGTTTTTTTTCGATTTTTGATTTTTCGGTTTTCGATTTTTCAGTTGTCAGTTTTTCGGTTCGATCACCGCGGTCTGAATCGATTTAGATTGGTGGATGAACATCCCTACTTGTTTACACAATGCTTTTGAGGTTCCTGAATTTGGCTAGTTGGCTTGGACATTTTGTGGATAGGTACGGAACTGTGTTAATAGAGTTAAACATATCTCCACCAACTTCGCGATAGGATTAAAGATGAATCGAAAACTTTGATGTTACTGACTTGGTTGGTGAATAACTTCACAAATAAGTAAAAGTTTGCTCCCTACAATCTAGTTCTATCTTGAAATCTCATTATATGAAAAAAGAGAAAAAAAAATCTTGTAAATAATTGTATGAGTCAGTTTATTCTTTTTCGTAACTTTTATTCAAACATAGCATATGGAAGAAAAATAATTAAATTATTTTAAAAAATGATGTATAATCTTATAATGTTCCGAGTTAAATAGAAATCCCACCTCACTTAATAATGATTAATGGGTGGGGCTCTTAATGATATTCCTAAATAAATCCAAACTGAAGGAAAGTGTAGGATGGTCCCAAACCTAGGTCAAGGGGAATTAAGAAGAGGCGTGGGACGCGTGATGACGTGCATTTGAGTCGATTACAGCTAAGGCATAAACCTAAGAGCAATGGATGGGTGTGGCATGGAATACTATTCAAGTCTCAATTCCAATGCCAATGCAATAATGTTATTGTTATTGGATTTGAATTTTCTCATGTGAAAAAGTAATCACGTGATTATGTTATTTAATCACAATCATTTATCAATGATGAGATAAAAAAAAAATATATATATATATAATTTTTAAATAAATAATTGTGATCAAATATCTTGATCACTTTTTCACAATCCAAATCCATTTGTTGTTACATGTAATGCAAGGTAGATAGGTCAGAGTTGAATGGCTGTTGATAATTGATTTGAAGTGTCAAAAGACTCAAAACCCATTTCTACGTGTTCATAATTTATTGAGTAAGCATCTTTTTAGTCCCTGGCAATATCTACGAAGTCCTTTTCAGTTCCTGACAATAAAAAAGGACCAAATTGGTCCCTGAAAGTATAAGAAAATGGTCACTCTACATATTTGGGAGTTGACATAAGGACTAACATGGCCCCTTTTTTTGTAATTTCAGAGACCAATTTGGTCTTTTTTTATTGTCAAGGACTAAAAAGGACTTCGTAGATATTGACAG